GAAAAAGTGAGAGTAGAAACTCTATACTATTCATGCTGATTGAATTATCCTAATCCCAGCAATTAAAAATCTTTTTAGTAATCGTACAACAACAAAAAAAAAACATGTTATCAAGCCGTATTTTCTCTACCAGGGGAAATACCACTGTCCAGGAGGCTACTTCGACGGCGGGGAACACACTGTCGAGATCGTGTGCACAGAGAACAACACCTGGGCTCCTGACCCCGAATCGCTTCCTCGTTGTGTCGGTGAGTTAGGCGGCGCGCGGTGAAAAACTCTACGGACAGCGCGCCACGTTTCACTATCTATTGCGTCCTGGAATTTTGCCGCAATTCGTTTTCATTAGTAGGGGGAGATAAAAATTCATCTGTTATTGTAAATGATGTTTATTGACATAATGGCAGTAATTCTGAATAAATATAAACATTTTCCATATCTATCGTAATACGATAGATATGGAAATAGATTATACATGTAGTATAATCTCATAGCATTATTAATGTAATCTTGCCAGTTATTTATTATGTTATTACGATGGTGATATAAATAGAACATTATCATTTATGTACTTCAATGTTTTAGGTAAAATTTAGTATTTAACTTCGACAATCAGTACTTAAAATATTCCATACCTTTTCTTTGTCCGTGTGCCTCTCCGTTTCTATCTGTCTTTGTCCGTCTGTCCTGTATCCTAATTACAACGAAAGCAAATCATAAATTCTGATATGTGTCATGAACAACGTCTATTGTCCATGTAATACTCATATAATGACAATTACAATAAACATTTAAAGCAATAATTTTCCATTTACTTTACGCTATGTTTATTGCCGATCTCATAAAAAAATTATCTGTCAATTCCGAAAATTTCTCTACGTACATATCGTAACAAAACTGAATCCATGAACCAGTTCAATATATTCTTTCAACATCAATATAACCTTGTGAAAGTAACACTATTAATTTGTATCTTTACATTTCCATGTTTTTACCTTTAATCCCATCCCTTTTTACATAACACGATCTTCGTTTTCTTTTCTTGTCCTTCGAATTCCCATTCTTTTTTTCCTAATCTTTTTAATGTTTTATTATTGTCATTATTATTATTATTATTATTATTATTGTTATCATAGTATTGGTAGTAGTAGTATTGTATTATTATTATTATTGCCATTATTTATTATATTGTTGTGTTATTATTATTATTATCATTATTTTCATTATTATTTTATTATCATTATCATTATCACTGCTATCAGTATTACTATTATTGTTATCAT